CCCCCAAAACCCCAAAACCCCATTTGCTGTATTTATGTTATAAACGTTGGCGCAAATAAGTTGATTTATTATAAATTAAATTCAATATTTTACATGGAGTAAAAGGTTCCTGTAATAAAGTAAGAGCAGTCTGATTAGTCAAACGCTCATTCTCAGCAGGAAGGGTAGCAAAGAGTCTAAAGTCAACCCTAATTAACAGCGAATATACCTACACTTAAAAAGCAAACAATTATTGTATGCTTATTTATTGATGTGCTTACTCAATGATCTTATAGACGTATAAATGAGTTAATGAAACTTTAAGAGAAGCTGGTTAGATGAACAAACAAGTTCAAACCATTATTGATGGAGTGCAATCATCATATCACAAAATACAAACTATTGATTAAGAATTGCAAGGTTAACTTCAGGTAATCCCTTATTTTGTCATTTGATTTTATAAACATGCTGCATATTAGATCATAAGAATGCTGGTAGTGCAGCTCGAAAACAAGAAATTAGAAGTACAGTTGTACTATGACAAAGTACTAATGTCAACCAATTCAAAATAAAATCTTCAAAATGTAATTAACTAGATTTTATCATTTGAAAGTAATTAACTTATTTTTGTCGTAGATACTTTCGAAATTGAGTGAAAGCCAAATAAACTAATCAATTTTAAAAAGATCTGGGAGCGAGGACACGGGTGAGGAAATCAAAGAGAATATGCTCTAAGGTTCCGAGTCAGAATCTGCTCAGAGAGCTAATTTAATGTCAGGCTCTGCAATAGGCACAAGTAACACCAAGCAATCAGAGTTAGGCAAAGACAATCAGATCACTGAAAGCTAAAGGCTTCGCACACTATGCGACTTTGTTGACGAAGAAGCAATTCAATAAATTACTGAGAGGGCTGATAGTTCCTTCAAAATACTAAAAGTATAATTTTATTAACCACAAAATAATAAATTTTAGGAAGTAAAAGATAAAGCCTTACATGTTAATGATTAACTTGTGAAGAGGATAGAGTACTAGATAAGCTTGATCTATAAGACGAAGAGCGACTTAGACTTTCAAAATCAAGCCATTTCATCTAAGTACGGGAAACTTCAAGGCATAATCAAAGAACTACATTAGCTTCTAAAGAGTGTTGAAAGAGTTCACAACTAAATAGACAATATTAATATAACTCCAGAGCAAATATACTAGTTGCTGCAAGCAATTATAGCAATTCACAAATAGAGTGAAAACTTGCGTGATGAGTCTACATAAATCATGGATGCAATAAAAGGTGCAAGTGATAATTATGATGACTTTTATGAGAGCTCTCGATAATCTTATGTTAGCTTTGTAAATTTCGCCCCATCTGTCTAAGATACAATGCAAGAAGTTGATAAATGGTTTCAACAGTAATTAAAACTCTTTCACCATTTAATTGTAGGTTTGAAATCAGTCGACAGCAATGTGTGGAAGATTATGAGGAGATTGAAAAGCTTAGCACTTGGTATGAATTCTTCTAAAAATCATATCAGGAGCTAGAAGTAGAAATAGAGAGAAGGACTCAGTATGAGTTCAATATTAAGTAAAAGGTAAATATGTTTCGATTGTTCCTAATGCAAGAAATTCATCAAGAACAAAAGAAAAGGATGGATTTTAATGATAAGCATTACAGATATTTGCCAGGCAATCTGAAGTAAAATCTAGAGGATCCACCTATTAGGTATGAAATATATCCCAAATTCAATGAAGCACAAGAAGAAGAAATGATAGAGATATAGGATGACGAGGAAAATCAAGATTATTTTGATAGTAATCAATAATACTCAAACAACATAGCTGATAACATGCAAAGCAACAATTTGGTAGATTTTTTAATGAACTAATTTCAAAGTAATCAAAATCAACAAATGGATTACTAAGTGTAGCAAAACAACTAAGAAAACTAATAAGATTTCTTATCAGGTAATCCTTAGAATTAAGCCTCAAATAGAAGTTTACTAATAAATAATTAACAACTTAACTTTGATTGAGTAAAAAAAAAATAAACATTGATTTGATCTGAAGCTCATTTTAGCATAAATGAGATGAATAAAGCCATAAATTCCTCCAAAGACTAAATTCTCCTAATATTACTCACACAAGAATTGCAAAGATATAGGAAGGTGATAATTTTAAGATTTAAAGTAAGAGATATTAAAGATTTTTACTAGCATTATTACTTGTTTGCTTGAGTGTTTGAGAGTTTGGTGTTTGAGTAAGGGATACTTGGTACTGTTATTGTATGTTTATAAATATAAAATGATTTAACTTAAAATTTAATCTAACATTTTATGTAATTTAAATAATAGCAGCATTCTTCGATCAATCTCATCTCTAGATTTACACTTATCAGCATTACACCGACGTATTATTTTTCATTCCCATTTTTATCGATAAGTGTAAAGATGATATGATCGAAGACTGAACTTATGATCAAATAATGTCATGGATATCTGATCATAATCTATGAGCTTGGTCGAGCTGGCTCTTCACATCCTGAGCATCATTTGTGCTGTGAGCAGTTTTATTGAGGTATTGTTTCTCTAAGTCTTCGTAGTTGAAGTCTTCATTCAAGTACTTTTCATCATATACCCATGGAGTGGTCATGTGAGGGTATTGTTCGTGGAAGTGAACTGATGTAGGCTTTCCAGTAACAAGAACTGGTTTGTAGTAGCCGATGTGATCAGTTTGCAGTGCCTCATTGCTATAGATCATCATTTTACCCCACAAATTTGAGTGTTGTCTGCTATCGTGCATGGCAGCATATGGTTCGAATGCATCTTCGATGTATAACTCATACTTCTCAATCATGATGTCAATTTCCTTCTGATCTTGAGACTCCATTATTTTCTCGAAATCCCTTCTTGCTTTATATTATTCTTCATAAAATCTATCTAAGTTAGCTCTCTTCACTGTGAAAACATGCTGAGCCATCAACTTCCTCATTGTACCTCTAAAGTCGAAGTTGTTAATCTAATATTGATAAAGAGTTGCCTTACTTGTAGAGTCTGTTGATTCTCTATTTCTGAGTTAGCACTGATGGATCCTTCACTTAGTATGCAAACAAGTTGTTCACTTCCTTGAAGCTGAAGTTTTTGCAATAATAATAAGCTTTAGACATTTCTTTAATTAATTATAAAAGCTATTAATTATTTAAATCAATGATAAATTATATTGTCTCTTTAACCCTGTTTAATCTCTTTAAATTTTCATTGAATTGCAAGTCTCCTAATTTTCATTTTTAAAGTTCAATATTGTCTGAGACCTAATTCGTGTGTATTTCATTATTTATCTTGAGCAGTTGCTTAATTTTTCCAGTTTCTTCCTCCCCTAATTCTATTCTGTGTGAGCAGAATCTACTCATTTTGCTTTGCTGTCGCAATTTTTTTCAAATCTGAATTCTTTTGATTAATCAAGCCTACAACATAACTTCCTAAGGGAATTGATTTCAAAGGATTAATTCTCGTTTATCTTATGTCAACATCTTAATTGCAATTTTTAAGTTCCCAGCCCATCCAAGCGATCATTGCTGCATTGTCAGTACATAGACTCTTAGGAGAATAAGCCAAAGGCACATTGTACTCTTTAGCTACCACCCCAAGCATTCTTCTCATCTCTTCATTGCATGAAACTCCACCACAAAAGTTCTATATCAAATTATAAAACGGATCATGCGAATATTACCAATGCATTGATATGAATGTTTTAACTATTCACCCAATCAAGTGCAACTTTTGTCTTATTTGATATTTGTTTTAAGACAGAGAACTAAACTGAAGCTGAAAAGTTTAGCAGCTGCTTGAATGAAAAAGATCTCGGTTCTCTTTCATATATTGGAATCCCAGAGTCTTCTGGTCTCACATAAAACTATTTTAATGTTATTAATTAATAGAATGTAAATGAACTTACACATGACATAACTTATGTTCTCAAGCCAGAAAATGTCACATCTGCATTAGGATCATATTTAAAACCTATCGGGAATTCAAATTCTGATGGATCTCCATACTTAGCTAACTTTTCAAGTAACCCACCACGATGGACATCCTTTTATTTTAAGAAATCAAAGTAATCATGAGGGATTTAATCATTTGGATTACTTTGATTGTATTCATTCATAAATTTAATTCTTCCCTCATTATTAAACAGTATTTTTTCATTTTTAAGCACCATTGCAGTGGCTTTATCCATTGCATCTCCTGCGGCTATATCAACAGTAGTACCCAAAATTGTATGAATTCCTATTCCTCTATTTAAAACTATTTCTGTATGCTTTCCAGTTACTAATACACTAACAAATGGAAATGGGATAAATGGAACCTAAGCTTCATTGAAATTTTAGCGAGGGCTATCTTCCAATGAGAATCTTGATGTCTAAAGTGTTTTATAGAACAAAAATTACCAAAACATGAGCTTCAATATGGTTTACTGGAATCACCTGAACATTGTATTCATTTCCCAATTTCTCTAAATCGCTTAGACAAACATAAATTTACCTATGCTAAATTAATTCCTTGTTGCAAAGATTTTTCTTGACCTGGCCCAATTGTTACTGCGATAGCCTTCAATCTTTTATCGTTTTTGGAAATTTTATATTCATCAATTACTGATTCTACAGACAAGGGTAAATTTACGGCATGTCTCTCAGCAGAAACCCCAGGTTCTATTCCATCTAAAAGTTCCCATTAGTCCCACATGTCAATACTATTAATTGCCTTGATTTCTCCAAATGAATTCACTAAAGCAGTTGCTGAATTGTCAAAAGATGATTCAATGCCTAAGATCACATCATCTTTAGATCTATCAGGATTTCCAAATACTTCCATCTTATTGACATTGTGTTTGTAATTTTACATATTATACTAGTCTTCTGGTCCATAAATATATGAACTAAAAGCTTTAGCTTTGAATTTAGGGATGTACACTTTCCTCATCAATAGACTAATTCTGGTTCTAGTAAAAAGTTCTTAATGCTTTTCAATTGTATTAATTTCCCCCATAAAGTCAATTTAAGTTCTATCCTTATCAAATATGTATGGGAGTTTTGTGTCATCTGTAACATTATTTGGTATCGTATGTCTATTCATATCTTCTATATCAACTTCATAAACTTTTGAGTTAAGTTCTTCAAAAATTTTCATTTCTCTATCTATGTCCTCCTTAGTAAGTTCACTTAGTGGTTTCTATGTGAACTTTCTATTTAAGGAGGTAGATTGAATTTAATATCTAATAGATTTAGTAGCAAGCAATTTAGAGTAAGTATTTTTAAGTGTCAACATTTTATATTTTACTAGAATTTTAAAGAAATATCATATTTATAAATTTAATTCCATCCATCAAAAAAATTATACACTTAAGGGGTTTTGGGGTTTTGGGGTTTTGGGG